CCCCGCCCCGCCCCCAGCGCCCCGCCCTCCCCGGACCCGCCCGGCGGGGCGCAGGCGCTGCAGACAAAGGACGCGCGCGCAGCGAAGCCCCCGCCTGCGGGCAGAAGGCCCCCAGAGCCCGGGACGCGCTCTGGCTCCGGGCGACCTCTGATTGTTCTCAGGCCCCAGAGGCACAGAGCTCGGGAGACGCCCGCGTCCGGGGTGCCGCCCTCACCATCCCGCCTGTGGCCCAGCGCGCCGCTCTGTGACTGCGGTCCCCCCGCGCAGGGGCGCCTCAAGAGCGCACGACAGCCCCACGGAGAGGCCTCTCTGGCTGAGCTAGCTCTGCCAGTGTCCCTTCAGGGGCGTCTGCGTGGAAGGTGCACCCGCTGCCAAACCGCTGTTCCATCCTCAGGGCAGTGCCCCAGCCAGCCAGGGACCCTCCTGGAGACCTGACCTCTGCAGAGAGGGGTCTGAGAGGAGAGGCTACAGAAACAGAAGTGCCCCAAAGATGAAGGCTTACTGTCCTTAAATCTGCCTTCATTGTAAAACCTGCCAGCTTTTCCACCTCTCATGTTGAGCATCATTTAAAAAGTAAAATGCACATCTTATTAGAGTAAGCCTCAAAATGCAAAAAAATACTGTGCATTGTCATACTTTTGAAAGACAAAGTTTTGGCTGAAACCTTTTTTTAAAATGATTATGAGGAGTGGGCTGAGGAGATAGATCAGCGGCATAAGCACCTGCCTGGCAAGCACAAGGACTGGAGTTCAATCCCCAGTACCACACACCTTGCCAACCCCAGAATCCCAGGCACACCGTGTAGGCCACCAAAATCAGGCAAGGTGGCCCACGCCTGTAATCCCAGCACTGAAGAGCTGAGACAGGAGGATCACTATGAGTCCGAGCTGTGCAGCAAGACCCTGTACCAAATAAGTAAAAGATTTTTTAAATGATTATGAGAGGGACTGGGGAGACAGCTCAGTAGAATAAGTGCTTGCTGGCAAGTGCAAGGGCCTGAGTTCAATCCCCAGTTCTGCCAAAAAAAAAAAAAAAAGATTATGAAGATTATAATCCTCAGCATAAGAGATGGACAAACAAAACACAAAATTAGATAACTGTCATGCTATCCTGAATATTAGATAAAAGGTAAATCAGAAGTAGACTAAGATGTCACCCAAGTCAAGAGTACCTGGTGAGTGCATGCTTGGGGTTCATGACAGGGCCACTGGTCACAGGCCAGGTATACACCAGCATTCTTACCACTGATTTAATGTGGAGAATATTTTTGCAAGCAGCCTGCATGAGAGCACTGCTTTTCTTTCTGCCGTTTACCTGGCCTTGTTTCCCTCCATGGAAATTATCACCATTACCTGACATTACTTATTTAAGGTTATCTTCCTGCACCCAAGAATGAGAGTTCCAAGATAGCAGAGACTTACTTGGTTCACTGCAGTGACCTCAACATCCCAAACTTGCCTGGCACATAGTGAGCATTCCTGTTTGCTGGTGAAACAGATTGTCTTTAACCAGGTCATATTAAAGGTCCTTTTGAGTTCCCCAAAAAGACAAGTAGTGACATGTGTGGAGTGCAAGTCATATACACTAGTTTGGATCAGAACAGTTCCCTACCCAGACTGGGTCCTTCAGTGGCTCTGAACTCTAGGAGCTCTCGATATGGCCCGACTCCAGGACCCTTCCCTCACAGACTGCAGTGCTGTTTGGTTCTTGTTTTTTAAACCAGCGCTAATGGGCAGCCACAATTGAGGAGCATTTGTTAGGTACTGCTGGTATCATAAAAACAGCAGATCCAGCTCTAGCCCTCTAAAATGTTAACTACCTTAAGATGCAAAGCTACAACCATAGGAACAACTGTTAGTGCTCTGTAATCAAGTGACCAAGCATGGGATGGGCAGTGCTAGAGAGGCTCACAAGTCATCAGCTGCTCTGCTAATGAATGGGGTAGAAAAGTGGCAAGCATGGGCTCAGGGGACCATGGAAGAGCCTGAAGGAATGGGTAAGGTTCGTATATCAGAAAAAACAAGCACATTGTGGGTTAGGGCAAAGGCAGCTTAAACAAATTTTGTCAAATAGACAAAGTTTTACCAGGGACGGATTTTTCAGCAATCAGTGTTCAAGGCCCAGAACAAAAAAGCAGCTCAGAAAAACACAGGCTGTAAAGGATTAATGCCAGCTAAAGAAGGATAAACCTCATCCTGAAGGTCCTCAGAAGCCATGGAAGGTTTCCAGCAAGAGAAGAGCATCCTGCAGTGCTGGCCACAGAAAGAAGACTGATTTGTAGATAAGATGGGGGAGTGGTCAGGCTTGGTAGTACAGGCCTGTAATGCCAGCACTAGGAAGCTGAGAAAGGAGGATCACTCCAAGTTCAAGGCTAGACAGTGCTACACAATGAGTTCAATGCCAGAATAAATTGCATAGTGAGGCTTTGTCTCAAAACGAAATAAAAAGATGAAGAGGCAAAAAGAGTGAGGGGAAAAACAATGATAGTGAGTACCAGGAGACAGTTAATTCTACGATGTAGAAACAAGATGATGAAAGTACCAATTCAGTGAAGAATGGGAGAAAACACAGGCATGAGAAGCATCTCAGAAGATAATTTGGCAAGAAGGTGGGAAGGAAATTTGAAAGCTAGGGTTTGAAAAGGTTGGTGCAAAACCAAACAAGCAAAGAAACAAACAACAAAAATAAGCACTGATAAAAATAAGAATGGAAAAAGTAGTTTCTCCAAACAAGAACTGAAATGTTGCATAACAAATACTGAAGTTAAAAATGATTGACACAAACAAGGAATGATGACAGAGCTAAGGGAAATAACATCTCCCACATGCCTAGCATGTACCAATGTTGTTCATGATCTTCTTCTTCTTCTTCTTCTTCTTCTTCTTCTTCTTCTTCTTCTTCTTCTTCTTCTTCTTCTTCTTCTTCTTCT